AAAAATAGCCAGGCGTTGTGGCAGGTGCCGGTAGTCCTAGCTATTTGGTAGGCTGAGGCAAGAGAAGCACCTAAGCCCAGGAGTTGGAGGTTGCTGTGAGCTGTGTGATGCCACGGCACTCTACTGAGGGCAATAAAGTGAGACTCTTATCTCTAAAAAAAAAAAAAGAAATTATTAAAACAAACAAACATACTGCTGGACAGTTACTCAGAGCAGAACTTTACCCCTTGGGCAGTGAGGGCAAAAGAGTAAATATCAACAGGTTCACCTAACTTAAAAATATATATATATATCACAAGTCCTTTCATAAGGACCATAATCTCTAAATTTCCCCTTCCTTCCTCTTTACAAAATTCTAACATTTTTATTCAGAGGCAGTAAACAAATGGGTAGCAAATACCAACAACTCAACTAAGGCTCAGAGGAAAAAATGTCAAAACTTGAGACACAGCAAACACTTAACTTCAGCCTTTCCTCTCTTGCAGTTGACATGCTCTTTGATAACACCCACCCCTTGTAAAAATAAATTACATATCCAAAAGGGCAAAATGCTCCAGTCAATTGGGTAAACAGCGTAATTAACATGTGCCAGGTGGAGAGTGAATCCTAATGTAAATAGTGGGGCTCAAAATAAGCTGCAAACTGTAAAGAAGCTTATTTTTAAACTGTCAGCAGGTTTCTTTTGTGCAATTAGACTTTAAATATGGGGTAACTGCTCCTCAAGTCTCTTTTAAGAAAATGGAAATGTGACTTGTTCAATAGCAGGTTGAACCTTACTATTTAGAACTCCATTAGTGTTTTTCCCAAGGAACAAAAATACATTGAAGTCTCTAAATGAGTTTTGGCATATACTTCTAACAACCTCTATACACTAGGAAAATTAATTTCTAACCCACCAGGATCATATTCCATAATGTAAAATCTTTTGGCTATGTAAAAATAAGTCTAACTGAACACTTTTCTGTAAATACTTCAAGTTCAGTTCTTTAAAAAAAAATCCTCTGATTTTTTATTTTTTATAAATCTCTACAAGGTAAATCAATTCTTCCTTTCTATAATCATATTACTTTGACTTTATTTGAAATATCACCAGTACCAGCAGACAAATAGAAATAGCCAAAGCATTCACACAAAGACAGTTAAAGACCACACATCATACCAACCCTATTAAGTCATATTTAATATTCTACTCAGCATCTACCTTGAGCTCTCCAGATCAAACATGATGGTAAATATTAAAAGTGTGCAATGAAAAAAGAATGAACACAGCTTCTTTGTGTGTTATCTGGCTGAAAGAAGGTAGGTGAGTACGAGGAGAGGTCTCAGCATTGTGCTCAGCATCAACACTTACCTTGAGGATGTCCCCCCTTTTGAAGCTCAGCTCGTCGTCTGCGGTAGCTTTGAAGTCATATTTGGCGATGGCTTCCATTCTGAGCGCTGCTCAGGGCTCAGCAGCCTGAAGCAGGGGGAAGGGATTCTTCCCTGCTGAAGCAACCCAGTGCTCTGGGCTCAGCCTTGCCTCTCTTCTGGGACTGGCTGCTGCACTCTGGGACACACAATGCCACCCTGAATTAGAAAAGGGACGATTAAGAGACCGGGCCAGGATCGAAGGCAGCCCCGCCCTGCCAATTGGCCTGCTGTCCCAGCCCCCACGCCCCCTGGCTCGGCCAGGCTCAGCCTTTCTCCCTCCCTTCCAGGCAACAGCCCCGCTCTCCTTCTTCCTCTTTTCAGCCTCAGCCCCTAGGCGACTGACAGGCCCGCCGGCCAATGATGGTAGCTGCTGGAGCTATTCTAGAACACACTTCCTCTTCCTTCCCGCTGGGTGTGCGGGGTGTGCAGGAACCGGCTGGAGTCCCGTTCAGTCTCCGCCTTTCCTCCCTCACCCCTTACTCTCTCCTCCAGGAACCAAAGGCAGTCCACTGAAAGAAAGGCCTCGCCCAGGGAGTGGCACCTGTCTCTTCTCAGTTAAATAGACCGGTCTCCCTCCTAGCCTTTTTGGTTTCCCCGAGAATGCTGTCTCCCCTACTCCACTCTCAAAAGCAAGCAATGCAGACCTTCATCTCAGGTTGCTTTACTCTTTTCTGGAAAATAAACCTTGGTCTGCTCCCAAGATAGCACAAAACAAACTTAGGAACTGCTTTCTCAGTACACTTAGTACCATGAACACCAGCAGCTTTCCCCATCATTTGCAAACTGATCAGCAAGCTCAGGTAACCAGAGAAAAGGAGATCCAGTTTGCAGCTTTCTGCTGCTGCTGATGGTGTTTTTATACCTTTTCCCTCCAAAGATCCTCAGGTCTGTGGGGTTCCCACTAGTCCCAGAAATAGATGACCAAGGCCCAGCATTCCATAAACCACCTCCACATTTTTTCTAACTAGCCTAACGACCAGGGCTGAAGTCCTCATATACACTTGAAAGAAATCCCCTTTTTAGACTATGAGCTGCCAAGTGTCTTATTTGGGGAAAGAAAGTACATTATAGGAGGATGCTGCACTAAAGTCAAACAGAAGTCTCTCATAATCACCCAGAGCACAGGTTCTTTTCCCAAAGAAAAACTCAGTTGCAATTTGGTGGTCAAGGATTCAGCCAGAACCCTTAGGCAGTGTATCAGGTGACGGGTGAACTGAGGGCAGTACAATCACTGCCACAGTAAAGAGTCTCCAGCAGGAATATGGGGCACAACCTAGACCTCTGTGTAACAAAGGAAAATAAAGCCTGATTCTTCCCTCCACAGCCACTGTTTTCATGCATGCTAACAAAAGCAGAAAACAACAGAATGGGGACAGATTCTTTATAGTGACACCTTTCTTGGATAATTACCTCCTAGCAGCTCCTGAGTGGTTATTACTCTTTGGTTCTAAAGTTAACAATTGGGACACTAATCAAGCATAGATACAAATGGACTAAGCAGTAAACCAGCTGGGAACACTAAGATTAGACCAACGGGAAAGAAATCATCTGATAATAAAAAGTCCTTCAGACAAATTCTGAAAGCTAAACATTCTGCAGCAGGTAACTAACTAAAAAAAAAAACAACAACAACAGGGCGGTGCCTGTGGCTCAAAAGGGTAGGGTGCCCGTCCTATATGTAGGAGGTGGCAGATTCAAACCTAGCCCCAGTCAAAAAAAAAAAAAAAACAATGTTTATTCTTTCAGGCTATACCTAAGACATTCTATGTTACAATGGCTATGCTAGAGAAAAGGAAAGAACAGGTTCTAGCAAATATTTCAGAAAAACAAAGACTAGCCTCAGAGTATTTATTTTTGCGTATTCTTACATTTCCTTCACTTATACTCCCTGTAGTTAATTTATTTTTATCAAACTAATCTGTGTATATAATTTTGAAAGTCAGAGTTATTAAAAAGGCTTATGAAAAACAGCAATTCCTGGCTTGGTGCCCCTAGCACAGTGGTTAGGGTGCCAGTCACATACACCTAGGATGGCAGGTTAGAACCCAGCCCAGGACAGCTAAACAACTGCAAAAAA